AGAGAGAGAGAGAGAGAGAGAGAGAGAGAGAGAGAGAGAGAGAGAGAGAGAGAGAGAGAGAAAGAGAGAGAGAGCACTGCAGCGGGAACGGGCTGCAGTAGGTGGGCAGCGCCGGAGCGGGCGAGGCAGGAGCGGGAACGGGCTGCAGCAGGTGGGCAGCGCCGCAGCGGGCGGGGCGGGAGCGGGCGAGGTGGGAGTGGTGTTCTCTCTCTCTCTGTTCTTACTGTAGTAGCTTATAACTCCAATGCATGTAATCCAGGTAATTGTACCAATACATTCGATATTCACAGTCGAAATTCACCGTCGGACTGACTGCGAATTTCGAATGTATCGGACCGTTACCTGTGCCACATTCGTTCGCAACTACCACTGGAGATAGATAGATAGATATATAGATATATAGATATATAGATAGATAGATAGATAGATAGATAGATAGATAGATAGATAGAAAGACAGACAGACAGAGAGAGAGAGAGACAGACAGACAGAGAGAGAAGACCCCCGCCCTAGCGCCCACTGCCACCTCGCCTGCTGCCCTGTGGTGGAGGTAAGGGACCACATACATTCAAAATTCACAGTCTGACACGGTCATGAGGCAGACCCTCTCTCTCTGCGCCTCACGGTACTCATATCGATTTTATGAGCAAATTCGAATGAATCTACCGCCTGAACTTGGAAATATACACTGCCACTTTTTTTTCTTTTTTTTCTTTTAATTTATTTATGAACCGAAGCCCCTACCCATAGTCCCCCATGCGCCCATGTGGATGGGCGTGTCGCGTTCAACTGATTCACGCCACGTGGCACGTAGCGCGTTTGAACGAGTTTGAACGCGCCCCCCCTGCCATTTGAACGCGCGCGCTTGAACGGGAACGCGCGTTCGGTGCGTTCAAACGGTTACACAACCTTCAACAAGGGTCAAAGGGTTCATGACCCAAACCATCAAATATGGAGATTCCACAGATTGTTGAGGGTTAAGCCTCCTGATGAGTCGGTGCAACTCCGACGAAACAGTCTTTCATCACCGGTTTTTATTTTATTTCATTTTATTCGCTCTCTGCCTTTTCAACTTGGCACTCTATGCCTCTTCCCTTGTTGCCGTGTGCTGCTTGTCTGCCCACCCGCCTCCCCCATGCCATCCACCCTATATGTCGTGCTACCACTCGTTGTCTAATGCCTTGTTGTCATTCTCCTCACCGTGAATTGCCTTTGTGGCCTTTGCATGGCATTCAATGGGTATTTGTGACGGACGCAGGAGAGCACCTCGTGCTGGTTACTATGCCAACAATGATGGCTATGGTATCAATATTCTCCCTTCTCCCTCTCTCTTCCCTTCTTCGCTATCTATCTTGCATACACTTTTTTGAGGTGCCAGGTATATTCCTTTGGTCTTGTCTGCAGGGATAGTTGGTTTGTGGCATTAGTCAATCCTACGGATGGGGACTGCAGTGTAAACAGTATATGTGTGGATCTATGTGAAGGTTCCCGTGTTCTCGGGTTCCTATCGTTGCTTATGAATTTTCACACACACACACATGCACACACACACACGCACAATCACACACACGCACGGACACACACACACACACATGCACACACACACACGCACACACGCACACACACAC